TTTAAAGAAGAAATGGATTACTTGAGAGGAAATTTAAAAAAAGTATTTGGGTGTAACATGAATTTTTTATGATAAACTGTAAGCCAGGGAAATAATATGTCAGATAATGACAATATTAAGGAAAAAGAAAAGGAAAGAAGATAGGATTTTTGAGGTGGACAGCACAGTTTGAAATTTTATTTTTTTTGTTGTTGGGGATTCATTGAGGGTACAGGAAGCCAGGTACAGTTTGAAGTTTTAGATAATGTTGTCTCAGGAAGGCCTTACTGAGGTGGCTTTTGTGTTAAGAAGTGAAGTAGGTAAGGAGATTAGCCAGTTGACTGTCTGGAGGAAAAGCGTTCTGTGCAGGGAGAACAGCAGTACAAAGAGTGCCTGATGGGAAGCATTGAAACGGCTGCCTTGTGCTGCTTTAAAGGTGTCTAACGGGAGAGTTAGAGTATTGACCTTCGTCTAAGCTGTCTCTCTGTGCTGCTTCCAGAGTGCTTGCTTTTATGTTCCTATAGTAGGTATTGGGGTGGAAAGCTCAGTAGGTGTTCTGTGATTTGAGAAAAGATTTTCTGCAGACCAAGATGAGGATATAAAAGTATAAAATTGAGTTTATCTTCTTAAAGGGAAAAAGGGAGCGATAGAGTAAAAGTGAGTGGGGAAAGAGAGGGAAAAGAGAACAGGGAGATGATGTGGTATTCCAAAGAAAGAAAGGAAAAATGCCCACAGGGAGGCCTAGTGGCAGCTGAATTTAAGGGGAACAAAGAGAAAAAAAGTAATTGTAGCCATATTCACAGGCCGCTATTCATAAGATGAGAAGTAGTTGGTTTTCTGTTGGAGAGAAACTTATCACAGGTGTTTCTGATCCTGAGGCCTGACACTGCACCCTGTTGTTCATCCAGGAACTCCAAGCCTGTGAAACAGGTTCTCAAAAGTTGTGAATGTAAAAAGAGAGATCTATAGTTCCTTTCTTTCTGCTCTTTTCTGTGGTTTGTGAAAAAGGAACTCTATAAGGTACCTGCTAGCAAGAGAGGGCAGAGATCAGAGAGCCAGAGAGCTTGATTTTCAGCTGTTACTGGAAAAACTACAAGTTAACAATTTTTCTGTTATTTTACTATCAAGACCAACCACCCTTTTGGTAGGCACTTTTTCACTTGAGGAATGGTATTCCTTCATTTTAAAAAACATTTGAAAACTACTGAACTAGGTAACTTCTAAAGTATTCTTCGTTCTCACTGACAGCCTCTAATTGCCCATCTTTCAGCAGTCAACTTAAATCCCACATCAGTGTGTAAGTCAGTAGGTATTTGAGAGCTGAAATAGACCCTATTTTATGTGGTTTATTTTTTAACTTCCTCATGAATTATATTCTTTATGCTTGTTGAAGAAAAGAGGCTGAGATAGTTTGGAAGAGTTAGAGAATAACCAAAGACAGCATCCCATCTAAAATCTCTCTAGCCAAGGTCACTACTTGCCCTTTGTTATCACCAAATATAAAAGCTAGCTTTCAGTTCCTGTTGACCTTGAAATATTAACACAGGCCATTTCCTGGAAACACTGTCCTATCCTGCTGGTTGCACCATTTCTGTTTCTCAAGGAGTCCACTTTCCTTGTATTTATACTGTGAGTGCCTGTTCTGCTCACTCTTCTTAATCTCTTTGGATATTCTGGCCTCCTTTATGGCTTCACTTGCCTCCCTATATGTGGTTGATTCTTGTATCAAAATTTCTTGTCTAAACCCCTTTCTTGAGCTCTAATCAGTTGTCATAAGTTAGCTTTTAATGTATCTATTTTGATATTTAAAGCAATTTATTGTCTTCTACTTAGAAAAAAGAACTTGTTCTTTATTTCTGTAAATGGTATTCTTGCCCAGTTAAGTGTGAATCTTTATGTTGATGTCCATTAGTCAAAGATCATCAGGTACACACCGACAGTGAACACAGTTAGGTTTGGTGATGCTTTCTTCAGCAAAGGACATTATATACCACAGGGGACCATGGAGTGTCAGAAAGACAGTGCTGGATACCTCTAGAGGATCTGGGCTTTTGCTGAGTAATTTTGGAAAGGACTTAGGGAAGTGGTGAATGTTTGCTCTGGATTGGGTACTATGAAGAAGTAGGGATAATTCTTGATTGTCTATTTTAATAAGTTTTATCTAAGAGGTGAGAAGAATGGAGATTAGAGAATGGAGATTCTTTTTTGTAGATTGTATAGAGTCCTTGCTTTTGTCTGTTCTCAGTCATGATTCCACAGTGGCTTCATTTTGCCTCACTTCTGTCATAGTCGCAGAGGACCTTTTCTGATGTTCGTGATCTGTGAAATTCAATTTCACAGAAAAATGCCACAGCCTAGTTATGAGTGTTTGACCAGCACCTAGCTGTGGAGTCTCAATCAATCTCTTTCTCTCTCAAAGACTAAGTGGCATTTGGACAGCGGGAAAATGTATTTTAGATGAGTATCTGAACAAAGAATTTACATGCTGCAAGATGGAGTCTGAGAAGCTAAGCTGGAGGAGAACAGGTGACCTAATCTGCTTAGTTCACTTTCTTTCCCACCTGCCCCCCCAGTGATTATCTAGTTAAGGTTTCACCATGATTGCAAGGATGTTTGTCTCAGAAGACTTTGAGGAAGTAATCACACATAGACAGTAGGTGTTGTGATATTGGTAGATGAAGGTTACTTTGATGATAAGGTGTTTTCTTTGATGATTCTCTTAGATATTTTGTTAAAGTGAAAATTACCTTTATGTTTAAACATTTTGCATTATTAGAGTGAAGATGACTTTGATATTGTTCTCTGTCAAATAAAGTTAAAATTTTCTAGCTTTGTTTCCTGGTATTCCCATTATAAAAATTATTAGAGTTATCACTGCAACAGAATAGTCTTTGAGAGACTACTCTCACTGTTGTCCAGAATTACTGACCTTCTGACAAAGTTTGGTGGACCTAATCCCCGCCTCTGCATTTGGCTGACAGTGACAGGCCATCAGACCCTCTTCCTCTGGTAACATCTTTACTGGGAATGTGTCAGTAAGATCTAGCGTTACGTTGAAACAGAGATGCCTAGGTTGTTTATTCTTTACTCAGGGAGGAAAGGCTGGTGGTGGGGTTATATCTCAGTTACATATGGGGCCTTTTAAAGCTAAATGTTTAAATACTAAGTACCTAGCGTTTACTTCATGGTCTCTTTTAATCTCTCAAGTAAATTGGATCAGAAAGGAGGGATACATATTGCTGCCGCCATTGGGAATAAGATCCAAACTGGAAATCCATGTGTGGCTAGTGGTATAGAATGTTCAGTAATGTTTCAGTGGGCAAGTTTTAGTGTAATAATTTGGATTCATTTGAATCCTGCCTTCTCTCCTCTGCTAATAGTTATCTGATCTTGAGCAAGTTGTTCAACCCTTTAGAACAGTGGTTCTCAACCTTTCTAATGCTGTGGCCCTTTAATACAGTTCCTGTGGGTTGTGACCCACAGGCTGAGAACTGCTGCTTTAGAACCTCTGTATTTTACAGATTTAAATAGGCAGCAGTAATAGCAGCTTCAGGAGGTAGGGATACCTGACCCTAGGTAAGCACTCAATATAAAGTAGGTGTTGTTACTTTCTTTCATTAGTTACATGACTTTGGATAAATCGCACAACTCTTTAGAGCAGTGGTTTTCAATCTTTTTTTTATCTCAGGGCACCCTCAAGTCTACAGTTAAATTTCCACAGCACATTTCAATTATGTTGAGCAAAAAAAAAGAACAAAAAAAGAATATACTTACTGAGCTTTGAACTTCTTTTGAAAATAATTTAATTGATGATCTTTAAACATTTTCATGGCACACCAGGGTGCCGGGGCACACCGGTTGAAAATCACTGCTTTAGAGACTCAGTTCTGACAATACCTTACAGGATTAATATAAGTATCAAAAACTGTATGCAGAAGTACTTTAGTAACTGAAAGCACTATACAAAGAAAGCAAATATTTAATGTCTGATACAGTCTCTCAAATATGTGTTCCCTTCACAGGTAAGGAACTCTGGTTGGTTATGATGTTTTGGAACCAAATTATGCAGGATCTTGAATGTTAGGATGAACAATTTATATTTTATGTTACGGGCTTTAGAAATACAGCTACCATGTAGACTTTAGAGCTGGAGGATGACATGATGAAAGTGGTGGCATAGGAAAGCTGGATTGGATAGGGATAACTTAGAGATTCAAAGACCAGATTTAGGAAGCCCTTTCGTCTAAATAATGGTGTCCTAGATTAGTGAAATGACAGTAGACATGAAAAATCTGAGATATTTCTAAGGAATTACTACAATTTAACTTGCAAGATGGATATGAGTGATATAAAAATAGGAAAAATAAAGACTTCTTGAACTTTAATTTTGGAAATGGATTCATTAAATGTTTTAGATATAAATGAGAGTAAGTTAGAAGAAATGGCCTATGACAATATACTGGATGGCCAGAAACTTTTGGTTTCAGGTATTTATTTGGCTGTCTCCATTGTGTAGACCCAAATATGTAATGTGTTCAAGAAAGCCATTGAGAAAGGGTATAAATTGCATTGGTAAACTGTAAAGAATTTGGCTTTAA